TCCAACCTCTTCTTGGAAAACTTCCAGGATTGGAGCATTTGCTTTGAGGCCGCCACCCCCCATGGGAGGGCTAGATCATGAATAGAGAATAATCATGTTTCTTTTTTATTTTTCCTGACCTGTATCCCTTTCACATATTCATAACTGTGTTTCTACTTAGACCTATGATCTTAGAATCGCTTGACAAATAAAAAAATAAAAATTGGAATTAAAAAATATCAGCTGCTTGGCCCCCACGGATGGCTGGCATCCTCAAGCATCCGCCCCCCCCCCAAGGGGAGAGCAGCCTTCCAATATTTATGGGGGGGGGGTTTGGACTAGATGACCTACAAGGTCCCTTCCAACTAAAGTCAGATTAACAATCTGACTTTAATCTGATTTTAATGAACAAAAGGACCGGGGGAGACAGGAGAGCAGGATTCAAATATTTGAGGGCAGGAGGGGGTTGGACTAGATGACCTCCAAGGTCCCTTCCAGCTCTTTTCATCTGACTTGAATCAGATTAAAGGAGGGGGAGGAGGGGGCCACCTGGAGCCCCTTAGGATAGTCAGTGAAGGGCAATTAAGGCAAAAGAAACTAGAGAAACTTCCACAGTATTTTAGCAATGGCTGGGAAAATAAAACCAACTAATTTTTATTTTTATTTATTTTATAACAACAAAAAACAAACATCTAAAACACAAATTAAACAAACATAAAAATTAAATTTATTTAATTAAAATTAAACAAATTAGAACAAACATAAAAATTCCACAGTGTTGTCAGTTGGGTCCCTATTTCTTCGTGCATAAAATAATGTTATCATCCATATTTAACTTGTATGTGTTTATCATCATTCTAATCACTATTTTATATCGCATATATCACTTATTCTATTATCCTTAGCTTTGTCGTTATTGACTTTCAATACTTATGTTTCAAGTTCATTTCCTTACTCTTGTGTAGCTCATCCGTGACGCTATACTTATACAATTCAATTCTTTGCTCTTCTATCCAGCCGTTCATCAAATAAATCCCACATTTTATCATAAGTCTTTTTCTTCTTGTTCTCGAGTAGCCGTTGTCCATCGACTCATTTCTGCGCCTTAATTATTTTCTCCTCGGTCGGGATTTTTTTCATGTCTCCAATTTTGTGCAAATACAATGCTAACTAAAATTGAGTAGATGAATTATGTAAAGAAATAAGTCAAGGATGTTATAAAGAGGATGGACATAACAGATAGTCAGAGTGGGAAGGGACCTTGTAGGTCATCTAGTCCAACCCCCCCACCCTCAAATATTGGAAGGCTGCCATCCTGTCTCCCCTGGTCCTTTTGTTCCTTAAAATCAGATTAAAGTCAGATGAACAGAGTTGGAAGGGACCTTGTAGGTCATCTAGTCCAACCCCCGCCCTCAAATATTGGAAGGCCGCTCTCCTGTCTCCCCTGGTCCTTTTGTTCCTTAAAATCAGATGAAAGTCAGATGAACAGAGTTGGAAGGGACCTTGTAGGTCATCTAGTCCAACCCCCCCTCCCTCAGGGGACCTTGGACCTCCCTTCCAGCCGTAGGGATTCTATGGTTGCCCTCCTGGCCATTGGCCCCGCCTCCTGCCCTGGAGGATGGGGGGAGCGTTGGAGGCCTCCCAAAGCCTCTTCAACTGGTGAGGGGAAGGAGGGTGGCACAACTGCATCAGTGGGACTTCTGCCTGTATGCCTGGGGACCCCCTCCCCCATGGCTGGGCTCTTAAGTTCCCCGGGGTGACTTCCTGCAGGAAGAGGCGTCTGTCTGGCTGAGGTTTAGGGGGCCTTCCCTGTTGGGCTGCTGCCTGTTGTGCCCTCTATAATCTCTCTATCCATATCTATCAATCATCTATCAATCATCTATCTACCTACCTACCTACCTACTTATCTACCAATCTATCTATCATTATCTGTCTATTTATATATCTATATCTATCAATCCAGCATCTATCTATCTATCTCTTCATCCATCACCTATCTATCTATTTATCATCTATCCTCTCTCTATCCATATCTATCTATCTATCTATCTATCTATCTATCTATCCATCCATCAGTCATCTATCTATTTAGCTATCTGTCTAGCTATCTATCGTTATCTGTCTATTTATCTAACAATATCTGTCAATCCATCATCTCTCTCCATCCATCACCTATCTAACTTTTTATCATCTATCATCTCTCTCTCTATCCATATCTATCATCTATCAATCATCCATAATCTATCAATCTTCTCTCTCTCTCTCTATCTATCTATCATCTATCTATCTATCATCTATCTATCTATCTATCTATCTATCTATCTATCTATTCCTATCTATCTATCTATCTATCTATCTATCTATCTATCTATCTATCTATCTATCTATCCATCCATCCATCCATCCATCCATCTACCTATCTACCTACCTACCCATCCATCCATCCATCCATCCATCCATCCATCCATCCATCCATCCATCTATCTATCTATCTATCTATCTATCTATCTATCTATCTATCTATCTATCTCTATCTACCCACCTATCTATCTATCTATCTATCTATCTATCTATCTATCTATCTATCTATCTATCTATCTCAGTATCTCTCTCTCTCTCTATCTATCTATCTATCTATCTATCTATCTATCTATCTATCTATCTATCTATCTATCAATTATCTATCTATCTATCTATCTATTATCTATCTATCTATCAATTATCTATCTATCTATCTATCTATCTATCTATTATCTATCTATCTATCTATCTATCTATCTATCTATCTATCTATTATCTATCTATCAATTATCTATCTATCTATCTATCTATCTATCTATCTATCTATCTCAGTATCTCTCTCTCTCTCTCTCTCTCTCTCTATCTATCTATCTATTTATCTATTATCTATCTATCTATCAATCAATTATCTATCTATCTATCTATTTATCCATCCATAACTATCTCTATCATCTATCTATATCTACCCATCGATATCTATCTATCTATCTATCTATCTATCTATCTATCTATCTATCTATCTATCTATCTATCTATCT